CATGTAAACTGTGATGTACTTTCTGTAGGCCTCTTTTGTGAGTTTCTTGTAAGAGGTGGTTCATGACAATATCAGCACCGATGACTGCTGTGCTTTCGGTGCCTTAGCCATCTGGGCCTTCAGCTGAGCACTCCCACCAATGAGGGAGTCATGGATGTTACTGTCTGCCCTATTGACCATGTTGCCCTCCACCTCCAGGCACAGCCTGTCTGTGATCTCCGGATCTTGTAGATGTCGGAGGACAGCTGGTCATGGCTGGTCCTGGTAGATGATCATGGTGGCAGCTGGGGACAATGGCGATAGCCTAACAGCGCAGAGCGAGCACGAGCGTGGTACAGTCAGAGCAGTGCCGGGTGGGTGGGGGTGGGGGAAGCGATTGAGGCCCTGGGGGGGGCTCACTCTCTTCTTGCTTCCAACTTGCCTCCTTAAAATTCATTTTCCATACAGCAGCCCACACAATTGTCTAACAACAACACATCAGGTTCTGTCACATGCCTGCATAGGCTACTGAATACCCTTGTACTTGAAATCAAACATACCTGACCTAGCTCTGGCTATTTCTCTGACCTTGTTTTTGATAACTCACTGTGTCTTAGGTATGCTAGATGCCTTTTGTTCCTTCCTTACCCAAGTTGCTTCATGCCTTAGAGAGTCACCCCTCCTCAGATGGGGGTCCTGCGGCTCTGAAGCACAGTTGTGTTTTATTCTTTATTCTGCCTTAGAGTGGCTTTCTTTGTTGATTGCCTGTATAAGTTCTAATTCATTCCATTGACCTATTTAATATTTCTGTAACATTTATTATACTTTCTCATTATTCTCTTTTGTAATTCATTTTTTTCTATTTTAAGATTTTTTAAAAAATTTATTATGTATACAGTATTCTGCCTGCATATATGCCTACCCAGCAGAGGAGGATACCAGATCTCATTATAGATGGTTTTGAGCCACCATGTGGTTGCCAGGAACTGAACTCAGGACCTCTGGAAGAGCAGTCAGTGCTCTTAACCTCTGAGCCATCTCTCCAGCCCAAGCAATTCATTTCTTATCAGCCTCTTCCACTGTAAACTCTACAAGAGCAAGAATTTTGTTTCTTATTCTCTGCAGAGGACTTAATATCTATTCATTGTCTGAATGAATGATGAATTATAGATATCTGGAGCTTACAGGGACCTTTTTGTATCATGAAAAGCTATTTATTCCCTGAGTAGCTTTTTCCTTGAGGAGATGATGACAACAGACTGACACATATCTAGCATCTTCCAGTCTACTGAACAGTTTGAACACCACACCTGTAGCCATGTGAAGCAGCTGCAACATCATTATTTCCAGTCACAAGAAAAGTCGAAGATCCTTAGAGAGCTGTTAGGAGGTTGACATCCAGACAGGCCAGTCCAGCTTCTTAGTCCACAGACGCCTGGTTGAGCACTTTGAAACAAAATGTCCCATCATGCCAATCCCATCAGCTGTGCAATCTCTTCCTGTCACCCAGAAGCTGAAGCTTCCAGTGGTCTGCATTAGATCCTGCCGCCACTAGACTACAGTGCAATGACAATTCCTCATGAAGTGGAAAGATTTCAGGAGGCCACAGGGACACACTGGTGTGAGGCTCAGGGGAAAGAGACAGAGGCAAGAAGGTAGATGGGAAATACAAGATGGAGGAGTTGGACTTGTCTTCATTTATTGACTTTGGCACCCCTCATCCATCCCAGTGCATGGTGGGAGCAGCACCTGCCTCCTGCCCCGTCCAACCCTAGCTTCACACTGCCTCTACCCTCTCAGCCCAGAGGACAGAAGCTCACTGTGAAAACCAGCTGCAGGCTGCTGGCTTCTGTCCTTCCTGCCTGGCTCTGCAGTCCCCGTCCTCTTCAAAGTATTGAGATTAGAATGGGGACTTCCCACAGTACCTCTGTGTTCCCTTCTCTTGTTTCCAAAGAGCTACAGTACTGCAGCTTCCAAAGAGTTCCACTTGGATGCGATTGTTACCCCAGAAATGCCTCAGCACATACCTTTAATCATGTGGCAAATTACCTTATTAACCACCAGGGACTCCAGTCTCATTACTTAATTAAACCATCTCTGTCCTTCTTATTAAAACCACGTGGGTTTGAACTTCTGCAAGGGGTTTGATTCTTCCCCCTTCTCTTTGAGTGTCTGTAGAAAACTAACTGCCCAGAAGAATGCCTGTTATTTAGTGTGGCTGACTAAAGGGTTACGACATTAAAAGCAAGGGGAGGGTATGGATTGTCTGGAGAGGCTCACACTGGCCAGAGACAGGACAGCCACTTGGGTGGTATGAAGGTCTGAGATGTATATGGTTGCTTACTGCTTTCCCTTGCCAAAACATCTGGAATACAAAATCCTGTCAATAGACAGCCCACACGCTAAAAAAACAAAAGGACAGGAAAAAAGAAAACCCAGTTCCCTCAAATGGCTGGACGAAGACTCATTATCGCTGGTAGGAAATTAGACATTTAGGGTCACACTTCAAAGCAACTATTTTTATTACAAGAGGCTCAACATTTTGATTTATTGGGCAGCAGAACAAGATTGTGACAAATATTTCCACCTCAAAGAAAAGGCAGAATCAGGCCGCTAAGAAGTCATATATTAAGTAACTTAAAAATAAAATCCCCTGTAACAATAGATATAATGTGCTTCTACTCTTGGGTCCAAATACAAGACTGCTTTGGATCTCAGGCCTAGAAGTGATTTAAGCTTGTGGGAACTCACTTCTAATCGCAGGAGAGCAGCTAAGATTGTTTGGAATTCTGGGATACCTTTCAACAAAGGTCAGTGCTGCAAGGGTCTGTGTGCCATCCGACCCCATCTCAGCTTGAGCCGCCCTCTTAAGAAGGATGCTCAGAATGCCACCTAGGTTCTGGGAGTCCATTAATGTAATTGGAGAATAAAGAACAGGGTTTTCAGATAAGTTGAAAGAGTTTAGTCTAGCAAAAAAGTTTTAATGAAAACACAGCAATAAATATAGAATGCTGGGTTACTAAACCCTTTTAGGCAGCGACATCTGTATGTTATATGATGTAGGGATCACTTTGACCCATTTTCAGTGGATGTGACCTTCCCTCTCTATGGGAGGGTGACTCTGATTAGATTATAGATTAAGCCAGAAGACAGTTGGGATAGATGGCACAGTAATAAATATAGAAAGTTTTTTTTCCAGACAAACTGTAAAGTTGCCTTCTCTGGAGGTCTCTGGAGACAAAATCACTTGTCTTAAGGGAAGACATGGGGACAGAATGGAGTGGGAGGACCAGAGGCTGGGACGTGAAGATCATAGCCTGGGTTCGGGTGCCAGCTGCACCACTAACAAATCCTCTGATTTGGGCTAACACACCATGTAGCATGGACTAGGCTGGCTAAAAGACCATGCAAGCGGTATGTTTGACTAGGAAGGAAGGCAGGATGAGCATAGGACAGTCAGGAGGTCCATTTTTTGCCTTCTGTTTATGAGCCTGCTATTCAAGGAGTGTGTGTTAATGTGTGTGCATATGTGTGTTAGTGTGTGTGAATATGTGTTTTTGTGTATGCATGTGTGTGTTAGTGTGTGTGCATACGTGTGTTAGTGTGTGTGAACATGTGTGTGTGTGTGAGTGTGCTTGCACCACAAGCATGTTCATAAAACTCTGGAATTAGTTAGAATTATGTAAAGCATCTTCATCTTTAGATGAATACACAGAAATTCTAATGATGAATGCTTTGTAAATTGAAAAATTCCTGCCTAAGACATCTCTCTATTAGAGGTCTGATGCAAGCATAAATGACAGGTTGTATCCCCCCCATCTGTCTGTCTCTGTCTGTATATGTGTGTTGTGTGTGCATGCGTGTGAAAATTTCTACAATAATCCATCACTGAGTCCTTCTACCCCCTATGCCAAAAACAGGGAGAATGGAGAACCAACCAATGCATCAGAAATGCTGAACAGCAGAAACACTGAATGAACTTTCTGAACCACCAAAATAGAAATAATGCCCACCCAGGCTACCTTTGAAAATTAAAATGTGCTCTGCTAAGTTCCGACTTTGAACTGTTAGGATGCAGTCAATACAGTTTTGTTCATTGGTCAGGCAGTATGTAAAATAAATGTCTACTAACTAGAAAACTGAACTTTCTAGTATATTCCAGGTCTCTCAGTCTGGTTCCTCTTGTGTGATAATAATGAATCAAGGGGGTGGAGCCATGGGAACTATTTTAGAAGCCAGTGGGCTGATGGTTATGACAATAGCCTGCTTTAAAACAGTGCGTCATGAGAACTGCAAATCTAAGAGAACCAAAATGAACCAAGGTCGTGAAGAGTCTGTGAGAGACAAGATCCTGGTGGGTGGGAAGATAGGGAAAACTAGCGTGGTGCTCACATTGTCCTTCAAGAGAGCCCCAGCTTATCAGCTGGCAACGACTGGACTGTCAGCCTTGGACTTTAGAACATTTGGAAAATGTCCCCAAACATGTTCAGAATCCCCCGGTGTAAGGACAACAGTTTTATGTGATAACCAAGCCAAGAATGGCCGAGGCTTTGTTGGAACAAGGGTGTTAGTGATTTCTTTTCCTGAAGTGAACTTTTCTACTAAAAATCTTAGACGTTGGTCAAGTTTACTCAGATCTCTCAACTTTACTGATGGCAGCCCCTGGCCCTGTGGGGAGAATTTAAATGAGAGATGGCTTTACTTATGCTAGAGTTGAGGAGAATTCAGGAGACAAAAGGATTCTTACTTTGATCCTCACTAATGTGGGGAGGAATCTGGATGGTTCTGCCCATGAGGAATCCTGCAGACTTCTCTGGGAGATGAGTAGGTCCATTCTCCAACAAACTAGCTATGTCCAGAAGAGTAAGAGTGAAGTGGAAGACGCCACTGGCTGGTTCATATTAATTGCCACTATTAACAGTTCAAAGCTCGAAAGGAAAGAATGGCTGGCAACAAAATTAGTTTATTATACTGGATACAATGGAAATTAGACTAACTCCCTCCCTCTTGTCCCCTTTAAGGGATTTCCTACGGTCACACCATGCCTGGGCTTCGAGGGTGGACTGCAGGGCTGAAGGCAGTGAATGACCACTGGAAGTGGTGCCGAGCCAACTCGCCTGTTCTTTCTCTGGCCTTTTGTCTACCAGTTTCAAAGGCATTCCTGTGGGAGAGGGCACTGGTTGGAGTAAAGAGCTTTGAAAATGAGAAGTTGCAACTCCTCTCCAGGGCACTTGGAAGGCCTGGTGTTTTTCAACAAGGAAACAGGAACAATGGGAAGAAATTTATTTTAGCTGCAAGCGGGGCTACTGATAAGGGCCAACCTCCTAGCTGGTCTCTGTGCTTCTAGTTACTGAGCAAGCACGGGGAGGAGCAAGAATGAAATGACTGACATCCCCGCAGCACCCCGTCCTCGCGTTCCAATAAGCGAGACTCAAGTTCACTCACTTGTGAAGAGGACCTGCGACAGCCCTTATTTCTTCTGTCACCTTGACTTCCAGTGTATTGTGCTGACTGACCTCTCCTAAACTAGAAAGAAATGACTGCTGATTTGACCACTATCCTCTGGGGCTAAATGTCAGGGGTCAAGATCCATAGCTACAGAGAATTCAGCTTTGCGTGAAAAGACTGGAACGTGGCTTCGTTGATGGGGCTAAATATTTAGACATCAGGGGGCAGTGGTTTTGTGTAAGCAAACTCAGTGGAAACCATTAAAGCTAGTGAGACTCTGCCACATTAAAGTGCTGAAGACGTCTGGTAGTGACAACTGCACACAGACTGGTAAAACCCAGAGCCTTCTCAAGGCCCCACGGCAGGACACTCAGATATTGATCAATTTGGGTTTGAGATCTCTTTCCCAGGCTGCCTCTTGACTATCCTTGGCCACACTGATGGAAGAGTTCTGCTTTATGTTTTCTAAGATTTGAGAACGTTGTAAAAAGAGAAAGGATTAAAGAGTCCAGAGACCAGCTCAAAATATTAAAAGGAAGTTTGGTTATTTATAGAAACAATTAGGATTTCCAAAATAGTAAAATATATACAAGAAAGATATCCTTTTTGGATCTCAGTGAGTTCGAGGCCAACCTGGTCTACAAAGCTATATCCAGGACAGCTAGGAGAGTTAACACAGAGAAACCCTGTCTCAGCCGCCACCGTCACTCCTGCTTCCCCAAAAGAAGATATTCTTCTTGTAGACTCTGAATTGATGCATGGAAAATGATTGTTACACATCTGTGTCAACACAGATTCTGAATTCTATTTGGGTCAATACCCAGGAATGGGACTCCTGGGCAATATGTTTGTGTATAGCTAATTTTGTCTAACTTTGAGAAACTACAGACCGCCATTCAGTATTCCTAGCAGCCACATATGACAGATATAGATGGCCCACATCTTTAACACTTGACATTATCAGGCTTTCATTTCAGCCTGACTAATAACTAGTTTATGATAGCTTACCAGCATTAATTCACTTTACTTGGTAACTAATAACATTGCTCATCTTTGCATGCATAGATCTGTTTTTCCTCAATAAAGAATCCAGCTGTTTATATTTACTATCTTTTTCTTTTGTTTTTTTTTCTTTTTACTTTTGGAACAGGACCTTATATATCACAGGTGAGCCTCAAACTCATGCTGTGTATTCCAGGGTGGCCTTGAACTTCTGATTATGTGTCCTCTGCCTCTTGAATGCAAGGACTACAGGCATGCACTATGCTGCCCAGTTTATTCTGTGCTGGGCCTGAACTCAGGAGTCTGTGTGTGCTCGGCAGGCACTATACCAACTGACTATATCACAGCCCTTTATTATTTGTTTTAATCCTCATTAATTTTTATTTCATTACTTATCTTACGACTCAATTCTGACAGTCTCCACTCCCCACCACCTTAGGAACATATTTTGTAAATATTTTGTGCCTGTCTATAGCTTGCTTTTTCATGTTTTTGAAGTCTTAGAACAAGTTTTAGTTTTGATGGGTTATAATTTATGATCTTATATTTTGTACAGTTATGGCTTTTCACATTATCTTTAAGAAAGGCTCCCCTAGCCATAGGACACAATGACTCTCCAGTATCTTTCCTTCTTATGTGCTGCAGTTTATGTTCATTTTTGTACGTGGCAAAGATTGCGCTGTCACTCCTCCATTAATACTCAGCTCTTTCAGCAATGCTTGTTGAAAACCATTTTCTTCTTCATTACATTTCTTGGTGCTTTAGTTAGATTCAGCTCAAATCACAACTGATTTTTTTTAAAATAGTAATTATTTAGATGGTTCAAAATTCATATAGATACATAACAGACCTAGAATAGCCAAACAATTAATTACAGAAGAAAAGGCTCATCATCCAGGTATATGGCGCATGTCTATAATCCCAGCACTAATATGGGTGGAAACAGGAGTACCACAGTGAGACCCAGCTGGACTCACAATGAGACTCCTTCTCAAAATCAAACAAACAGTAAGACAAAGCAAACACTTCTAAAAAATCTTTTTTAAGTTTAATTATGTAGCTATAACTGGCCTACAGGCTGGTTTTGAACTCAAGATCTGCTTGCCACTGCTTCCCGAGTGTTGGGATTAAAGGTGTGTTCCAGTACACACCCATCCTCAATCAACATTTTCTGAGGTTGTATTTCATTTGATTTTAAGACTTGGTGGCAATAAACCTGCCAGTAAGATATTGGTATTTATCTAGATACACACGGGGAGGGGGGGGAGGAAGGGAAGGAGGGAGGGAGGGAGGATGGGAGGGAGGGAGGGAGAGAGAGAGAGAGAGAGAGAGAGAGAGAGAGAGAGAGAGAGAGAGAGAGAGAGAGAGAGAGAATAGAATGCAAAAAGTAGACTCATACAGTTGTGGCTAACTAGTTTCTGATTTTCTTGTTTAAAGGATGGGGGTGAATGTGGGTCCGTGTGTACTTACCATACCTGACTTTTTCTGTGTAACTTCTAAGGGATGGAACTTAGATGCTCGTGCTTGAGTGGAGACATCTCCCCATCCCATTAAAGCAGTTTCTATTCATAATTGTCTGCAGTTAGTCCTGAAGTCACAATGGTATCAGCAATACAGAGTTTCCTCTCACTTTAGCGGGGGTCCCAGTTCTCGAATCTTCTCATCTATCTTTAAGTGTCTTTCTTCTAGGTATTTTCTGTTGCTTCTTGAGAGTAGATGTGAGCCCTGGTCCCTCGCTCAGTGTAGCCTAGGACTTCCCCTCTGCTGTATCTCCGCTTTCAGTTCACTGTCCTTCCAGATAATAATGCTACGGATGAGCGCCAGGTCTAGCCAGTGTTCTCTTTATCTTCAATGCTGCCACTGTGTGGAAATGCTGCGTTCACCCACGGCTATCTCTTTATCTTCAGTATTACCGCAAAGTGAAAATGCTGTGTTCATCCACAGAGTTCTCTCCTTATCTTCAGTGTCCCTATGATTTTTGAGATATTCGGTGTGTGGACAGCAGGTTTCATGTAGCAAGCCACGAGAAAGCTGACTTTTTTTCTCACCAAATGTCTCCAGGCCTCAATGCATTGTGATTTTCTCCAGAGTAAGTAACTTTGTAACAGAGATCCAATTTCCTCTAACTCAAGATCAGCCTAAGAGATGGGCTGGGAACTGCTAACAGCTTGTCTCAACTTGTCTCTTTAGACTCTCAAATAAATGTACAACGGCCCCTAACTTTCTTCAGACTTTCAAATAAATGTACAATGGCCCCTAACTTTCTTCCTTAGATTTTCAAATTAATGTGGAATGGCAAGTTTCCTTTCATGCCCATCATCTCAAAGGAAACAGATGCAAGAAATGGCAGTTCTCTTTATTAAAGTTGTTATGTCTTAACAACAGCAACTCCGGTCTAACAATAGTGGGTACTGAGTGGTGATTTAGGAGCCTAAATGGATCTTTCCACTTATCATTTTACAGCCATGAAAACTGAGACAGGAAACGATTTTATCTGTGGTCATGTAACAAGGAAATGGTTCCTGAACTGAGATACTGTGACCTGGAGGTCATGGTCATACAACCTCAAATGATTTGCTGATTCAGTGTCTGTCTATCTACTCATTTGGTCAGAGGAGAAGTCATTTCAAGAAAGCAAACACTGGTCTTGCCTGGCATTTCAATGCAGCATGATTGCTTCATCAGAATAGCCATGTCAGTGGCTCTCAACAGATTCTGTAGTCTAAGAGACGTGTCCCGTGGTCTCTGTGGAGTATTTATTTATGTGGTAATTTTGTGACTCTGATTTTAGCAAGAGTCTGTTGTGGAATACTAAAGAAACTTAAGGAAGCAATTTCAGGGAGGTGACTGGGAAAAGCTGTGTATTTAGTTTAGTCCCAAGGAGCCCAGAGTGTGTGGTAGGCAGAGTGCAGTCCACCAAATCAAAACACTCAAAAGCATAAAATAAAGAAATATAATCAGAACGTGTACTTACTTTTAGAGTCCAGACCTCACCCTTGTGACCTGCCACTTGAAATTCAAATGAAAAGGCAAGAAAACCTGATGTGTTTCAGATTAGGAAGCGATGGTTTATGAGCATGAGGTCGATGCGGGGTGGGTCCGTGGGGAAGACTCAGTTGCAGGGCTGAAGAGCTCCACCAAGCAAACCATTCAGAGGATTACAGTATCCAGACCTGCATCCCGCTAGCCTAACTGTCCAATGGCTTCCAGAAACAGAGAGCAGCAACTGGACTCATTAAAACTGTACCCCTTATTGATTATATTTCAGTACCATTCACATGTATTTTATTTACATATTTTATTCCCTGTCCTATAGTGAACACTGCATATATGCGTACATGTACATGATATATGTTATATGTACCAAAGACTGATCCTCAAGAGGACTTTGCACATTCCAGGCCAAGTGTTCTAACACCAAATTGCTTGTCTAATTGCTTTTAATTTTGAGGTGAAGTCTTACTAAGTTTCCCAAGCAAGTCTTCAGCTTGTAATTCTCCTGCTCAGTGTTATGGGCTTCTAGAATCACCAACTATTTTGTTTGTTTGTTTATTTGTTTGTTTGTTTGTTTGAGATAAGGTTTCACTATGTAGCTCTTGCTGTTCTAAAACTCACTGTGTAGACTAGGCTGGCCTTGAACTCACAGAAGTCCACTTGCCTCTGCCTCCCAAGTGCTAGGATTAAAGGCATGCACCACCAGGGCCAGTTTCAAACGTTATTTTCTTAAGAAAACAAACCTGGCTCAGTCTCAGGGTGCCTCTCACCTAGGATATTTTTCTATTCTGGAAAAGATCTGATTAAGAGGCACGATTTTCCATATTTCAGTAATCAGATCTGAGAAATAATCATAACTCAGAAACAGACTCAGGGACAGGATAGTGTAGTGGCTGTGGGAGGGGCCACAAGATTGCATCCACTGACTCTGAAGAATTGTCATTAAACCGGCTAGATACTGAGTACCTCAAATACAATCCTGCAGGTCCCAGACCATTGTCTCAGGAAGGCTCCATATCCAACATGAGGTGAAGTTAAAGGAGCCAGGAGAGTGTCCAGGGGGTCTGGCATGGAGAACACATATGAAGTGGAGAGCTGTGTCTTGTGGACTGTGAGCTCTAGACATCATAAACACAGGCTGGAAAGTCAGAGAAGAGCTAAGAGCCCAAGAGCTACAATGCTGCTTCCACGGCCATGGTGATCATGCATACGGTTTTACCCAAGCACGCAATCAACAGTATTTTAATGGCTCTCTGCCAGATGAAGCCACACCAGCTCAGGTGCCTCTGTTTGGTGCTGCTACCTCCACAAACAAAGTGGGTGATGCCTCTGACCATCACAGATCTGTGGAAGCTCATTATCCCAAGATGCATCTCTCCCGTCAGACCTAGACATATGGAAGTAACGTGTGTCTGCTTACCTGACTGAGACAAGCACTTTCTAACGACCCCACAGTTATTTCTCCTTTCTGCACACATTCTCCGCTCTGCACCCAACACAAGCATGTACAGATTTCTGGGACACAGTTTATCTTTAGCATTCTTTATGGCTGTATGGAATAAAGTATTCTTAATAGATTCCCACAATGAACTCATTTCAACTCCTTTCTCAGGTCTACAAGACCAATGAACCCGGTCTCCAAGTCAGCCTCCTCTTCCTCTCCCAGCCTATCAGGACACAGGAATTCACACTGCAATGCTTCTTCATGGAAAGGATGTCATTAGTGTTTTTATGACATGAAGAGCATTATTTTTCAAAGGATCTCTCTTGGATGTTGTGGATTGACAAATCTTGAAGTCCTTTCTCTAGGCTTCCCACTCAGGCCACTCCATTTCCTCATCAGCAATTGGGTGATCCGGGTTGTCAGCTTGACCCACTTGGTAAAAAGAGAACCTCAGATGAGGCATTGTCTCATCTGATCAGACTGTGGGGCATTTTCTTCACAGCAGCTTTGCTAATTGGTGTAGCAGTGTTCAGCCCACTGTGGGAGGCACCATCCTTAGGCAAGTGAACCTGGGGTATATAAGAAAGGGGATGGAGAGATGGCTCAGCCATTAAGAGCACTTGATTTTGCACTAGATGGAGGGTGGAGTGTGAGGAAGTGAAGGGAGTTCAGTTCCCAACACCCACAAGGCAGCTCAC